ACTACTGGGGGGTGGCTTTGGGCGCAGTACCGCCACCTTCTGCTTTGGGGGGTAAACGCTTCACCTATGAGAAAAAGGAGCAGCGCATGAACCGAACGCAACACGCTAATCGAACCGAACGGTTCCGACAGTTTTCATAAACTGTTCCATTCCTAGATGCTGGTATTAATATTTGATCACTCTCTCTCTAGCTGTTAGAGCCTATTAGATTCTGTATTGCTCTATAACAACGGAAATGACCAGAACTGATGCTACTCCTTTTTTTCATACAATTCATAATTTAGTGTGAAAATCAAAATTTTCTTCTTTTTTGATTAGTAAACAATGAAGCGTTGAATCATGTAAACAGTTAATCTGCTGCCTAGTCTAATACAGGCTAACAACCTGGATAATTCATTTAACCATTCTTAAAGAATAATGATCAAATATTTCAGCGTAGAAGGGCCAGAATGCCGTTTTTATAATCTTTTAGCAACCTTCCCATTGTGTCGCCTTAAAAGCGTGAGGCTCCATCATGCAGACTTTCTGTGGAACCAATGTGATTCTTAGAGAGTTAAATCCTGTTAGTATCACAGATGATTTGTTGTGTCTCTGCATCTTGTAGGAATATAGTATCTCTGTGAAATATTTTAACCACTTCCTGAATAAGGACGGTTTATCTTAAGGGAGAGAAATTTGCTGTTGGACACATTTGGACTAAATTATTCTTTGTTTTCATTTTCTGACCGCCCCCCTTTATGCTCATTAAAAACGTTCTGCTGCTTTGATGTTTTTGTTTTTCCAGGTTGACTCTTGTTCCACAAAAACAAAGCTGTGACCCTCTCCTTTGTGTGTTTTCAGGTGGTTGAGGACGGATATGAGTTCTTTGCTAAGAGACAGCTGGTGACGCTGTTTTCAGCCCCAAACTATTGCGGGGAGTTTGACAACGCCGGGGCCATGATGAGCGTAGACGAGACCCTCATGTGTTCATTCCAGGTAATCATTTGACCTGCCACTCTTGGTAAATGATTCGAATTGTTGGTTTTTAATGTTTTGCCGATGTCTTCCTGTAACCAGATCCTGAAACCTGCAGATAAGAAGCTGTTCTACGGCGGCGGGGGCGGCATGGGCTCCGGCCGCCCAGTCACCCCTCCCAGGAAAGCTAAGAAATGACAGCAGTAGTCTGCTTTTTGTCCTCCGGCCCATCCCTCCTGCCCTCTCTACCTCTCTTCTCCTTTCTTTCACCAAACAGCCAGAAATGAAACCTATACCCAGGGCTTTTTTTTTTTCCTTTTTTATCTGTACTTCTTAAACATTTAATGTAACGAATTGTCTGAGTGGGTGCGTGCGTGCGCGGACTATAAACTTGTCTCGTCTGCAGGTGAGCATTAAAAATCGCATGTAGATTTTTGCAAAAATTATTGAAAGGTTTATACTTTCCCCTCGCTCTGACCACTCTTCCAGTGGCCACGTTGAAACCACAGGGTCTGTCTCTAAGGTAATTGGACTGAAAAAGCAGGGTTTTAAAGACAATGGCAGCTTGCTGTCATGGCTGCTTTGGCAGCCAAACTGCCTGCAGGCGCCGCGCATACTTGCAGAGAGTAAGAGGGGGGGAGGCGTGTTTTTGTTTTCCCTGTTTCTGTACTGTAAAATCTCAAACACAGGTGTGCGTGTGGGTCTGCTGTGTCTTGCCGAGTTTGCTGTAATGTCTCATTATCTCTCGCCGAGGAGGAGTTGCATCATTTCCAAGCAAGCACATGCTTACACACACGCAAACTCAAACGACTCGTCAGATTCATATGAGCCAGAGCTGTAAAAAAACAAAACAAAAAACCCCCCATACAGTTTAGGTTTGTACAGATTTGATTACTTGAAAGAGATTTTTTGTGAATTCGTTTTGTAGTCTTTCATCAAGTTGACCAATAAACCGAGAATCTGAGCTGCCATGTGTCCTCCTTGTGTTTTTCTGTGTAATGATCCTATTGTCATATTTTACCTCCAGATATGCAGCTGACAGAGCAGCCTTCAATTAACTGCTGTCTGAAAATAACTACCGGTAGAATAATTAAGATAGTTTTATGATTTAGGGTTGATTGGGAGGCATCTTGCAATCAGAAGGTTATAGGTTATATATCACCGTAATATGCCCCTGGGCAAGTTGCATAGGGATTCAATGTTTTGGCCTTTAGCTGGGTGATTATAACCCAAATCTAAAGTTCTTTAGGTAGCTAGCATGACAAGAAAACATCCACATTTATTCTCTCTTTTCAAAAAGTACAAAACATGATCTAGTTCAGTGCAGTACACCTTTAATAGTTTAAGCATTTCGTTTCATTTAAATTCAGCATTTCTTCCTAATTTAACACAAGCTGAACATGAATTAAACTCAGCTGTGAGGGTTTGTTAATCGTCTATGCCTTCTAACTGAAGCCAGTTTTAGCAAACAACCCAAACATTTCATTGTCCAAAGGACTATGAGAAGTTCAAAATACTCTGAGGACAGAAATGAATACATTGATTGATTGATTAAATATTTTGTCTTTTTTTTTTCATAGTTATTGAACAAAACAAAAAAAAATCTTCAGAGAAGCTGCCAAGAGGCCTGCATCCCTTTGGGCCCTATAGGGATGAATGTGAAGAAGTGGTCAGATTGATTCCCAGCCAGGGATACTCATACCTCTAGTGGTCCATGAGTGCAATCCAAGGGGTTCATGAAAGTATTTTATTTCTTAGATAGTAAAATAAAATAGGGCTTTGATCTGTTCTGCTTTTTGAGGACCCAGCTGAAAAATTAAACAAGCTTTTATCAACGAAAAAGTAAGTTTTTCTTATATGTTTGAGTTCACCTTCAGCTGTGACACATCAAAACCAAGCAGAGGAACAGGCTGGATGTAGAGAACAGACTGGGTTCAGCTGTTTTTAACACCGAGCTATTCGAGTTCATCAAACCAGCTGGTTTGTCATGATGAAAACAAAGTAAAACTAATTAAGTCAGTCTATTACTTTTGTTTCCAATTCATCAAGATTGAATGTGATTATAAAGGAGTTACTCATAGGAGCTCCAGTTTTTTAAATACAGTTTATCATTTGTATTTATTTAGATTCCTTACAAGCAACATTCTTTGTTTTTTGTTTGTTTTTTTGCGATGGAAAGTATAAAAGGCATAACATCAAGATCAAGTAAAATAGTTTTTATTTTATAATCAATTATTTTACGTTCCAGTTTTGGACAATCAATAAGTTTGACTGAAAGCAGTACTCATGTAAGATAAAATGCCCAAAGGAGTAAACGAGTCTAAAAAAGTTTGGAAATGCTGAACTAGACCCTGGTAAGATCTCTAAAGATTTTCTTGAAGGGTTATCGGTAAAAATCTGACCAAATTCAACCTGATCGCTGCTTCACAATTCCCAAATTTAGTTAATGGTGTCTCAACCGTGAAATACGGTAGAGACAGCATCATAGTTTGGGTTGGCTTTTCAATAAATACCAATAAAAAATTACCCAAATCTTTCCTGTGTCATTTAGCTTTTTGTTTTGTTTTGGGTTTTTTTAGCATTAGTATGAGTCCAAGGATTGATCCAAATCAACAAATAACCCAAAACTAAATGTGAGAGAAAATCTGAGGGGACCCATTAAAAAAAAAGGTTGTAGATGTGAGGTTTCCTCCTACGGGGAACATAAGCAAAATAGAAATTTCGGGGCCCTCTGTTTCTGCCAATAATATGGATTCCTGCATCAACAGTTGGATAATCGGATCACTGACCTACCATAAACCCACTGATGTTTTGTTTCTGGCAGAGTTGTTGAAGCTCTCCTATTTCCATGTATCATCTCGTGTTTCTAGTACATTAGTAGGCAGTTCATATACGGCAAAAGTCAGGTGGTTTATACTTTTTGGTTCCAACAGCAAACAAGCAAAATAGCTCTGATTAAAGCATATGATAAATGAACTTGCACAAAAATAAACATAATTGAACAAACAACACACAAAGCATGTTCTAACATGAGAAATTACAATGAAATTACATTTTAAATTCAGTTATTAGCTATTAAAATGATTTAAATGTATGTTACTATTTGGAAAATCTTACATTTGACCTTTTTATGTTACAATGGTCTTCCTCAGTAATCCACTCGCTCCTTAAAACCTGCGTTTCTCCACAAAGTCACAACATCACTAAGATCTGAACAAATTTGTTATCAGTACACTGCACCCTCACTTGAGCATTCTTCTTCCATGGAAGATCTCAGGTAGTTCTTGATCACAGTCACACAGAGAATTCTTCAGAGCTAACAAAGGATCTGGGTAGAACTCAGATCTCATTTTAAAAGGGAAGTGAGTAAATTAGTTAATCTGTGCACTAGGGTGTCTGAAAGACTTTCCATCCCAAAGCCAGTGCACTTTGATCAACATCAGACTGTTCTCCGAAGTTGGATTTGTGTTGGAGACGTTTACCCCGATCCTTCCTCATCGATGTGCCAATCTGGCTGCAATTTAATCTATAAGTGATTATTTCCACATGATTAAAGATAAGTTTAATGTAAATCAGAAAAACTTTTATGGACAAAAAAAACCCCCAACAAACAATAAGTTGTTCCTTAGTCCCTCTGAGCCGTTGCTTAGTTCCCTTATGCATTGGGTCGGCCTTGTCCTTGCTCAATAATTAACCTTTTTTTTTGTTTAAATCTTTTATTTTAACAGTTTTTCTTTTGGTTCAGTTTGTACAACATGTGCCTTACATTAAAAAGTGCAAAAATAGTTTATGAGTTTTCAATAAAGCGAAAAAAAAAAAAGGCCTTTAAAGTTTTATGATAAAATGTTAAAGGTTGGAATAGGCAAGGCAAGTTTATTTGTTTATTTACATGAATTAGATGATAGAATAAAAGAAAATAAAAGCAAATAAAGTTAAAAAAAAAAACATGTAAAACAAATAGGACAGTTAAAGAATAAAGGTGTTTATTATGTTACAAGTAATATGGAAAGTTGTTATATATAATCACTGTTTTTGTTTTTAGTTGCAAATGTGAGCAGCTGTTATGGTTATTACTGCTACAAAAAAGAACCAAACAAACACTTTATATTTGTTGTTAAAGTCTTGACGGTCCTTATTCTATACCCATTAATATAGAATATGCTTTCCAGTTTTTGTTTTTTTTGTCTCATAATACTATGTCACATTTATCCATTTATTTTTCCCATATTAAACTGAAGTAGTGTATTTGGAGCCCATTATGTATTTAGTGATATGCATATTTGCATCCACAAGGGGGCGGTGTTGTGAATGAATTCCTTCCACTCCTGCCAGAATGTCAGAAACAAACATTTATCATATCTAAAGAAATAAAAAAAAAAAGTTTTCTTTTAGTTACATGTCAATAAAATATTACCACTTTAATTCATTGCAAACATGTAAAAAATACTTTAAATAGATCATTAAAATCTCAAAGTATTTTTTTTAATTAGAGATAATACTTGAGTTCGATGCATCAGTTTCATGAAAAACTACAGACCCTTCTATATTTAATACCATTTAAATATGTCTTGTGTCCTTCTTTGGCATTTCTCCGGCTCTTTTTGCATTCATTCGTCTTCCTGTCATCAACGCCCCCAGTCAAGACGCCCTGTCTGTCACTCTGCCTTCCTTATACAGGAACAGGAGAGGTGAGGGGCAAAGCCTACTACTAGAGTAAGGGGGGGCTTATAGAAAGGTCATGAACTCTTTACCTTTCCTTTAATCTTCATGAGGAAATCTAATAAGTCTAATGAATTTGTTTCTGACCTTTCTTATTTCAGTTGTAGTTGAATAATTCAAAGGCATCAAACTTCCTCCAGTTTTTCCCATTCTTTCATATTTTATATGAGGAAATTAGCTGCACGCTTCTGAACGGTGGCGTGAATATAAAGCTGAAAGTTGGTTTTGCAGGCGAAAAACTTAACCTACTTTATTGGAAACGCCTCTTTAATCCTGTGCACTTAAACACAAGATGACCGATGATCAGCCTTGCTGCTGAACTTATAGTAAGCTGCACTCTTTTTTAAAGAGGTGTTGGAGGTCAGAATCCTGACCTTGACCCTAATATGTCTATTAAACAGAATTAGATTTAGTGGGAAAAGGAAACCCACGTTTTGTGGATCTTCTGCTCCTTTCGGTTACAGCTGTGCCTCCCTGAGTCACTGCCTTGGTTAGGTAAGGTCAGTGGACTCAAAATAGATAAGACATTAAATATGTTTATTTTACAGAGTTCATATTTCAGGTGATACCAAATACTGTACATGCCCATTCACACCGCCTTGCCCAGCTGACACACTGAGCCGGTGTGTAATTTATTACAGCTATTATAAAACTGCAAAAGAATTTGGTTTATGACACTTCTGTAACAGAATGGCATTTATGTAATATAAACCGCCTGTTCCGTGGATGTGTGCGAGTTAAAGCCACACTGGTGTTCTAATGGACATTAGGATTGAAGACGCTATGCTAAGCAATGTATGAATCCTTACAGAATCTGCTGGAATGATTACTGAAGCAGAAATATCCAGCGAAAAGACATGAAAATAAGAATCACATAATTTTCGATTTGAAAAAAGCTTCTCTAACATAACCGTTAGTGTACAAAGTATTTTCAGAGTAACCTGGGGATTTAATTGAGATTTCGTTCTTCTAGTTGATGTTTTCCAGATTTGATTCTTAAAATGTTGTGTTCTTTCAAACACTCCAACCAGCAAAACCTTTTGCAGGGAAAAAGGCCCACAGCATCACACCTCCTCCACCATACTTAACAGTGGCCATTAAGTGAATTGTGACTACCAGGAATTTTTCGCTGTTGAAAATCTTAGTCATACTCTTATTTGAACAAATCATATTTAGGATTTAGCGGATTGCACAAGTTTGCATTTGTTATAGCAGGATAGAAAAGGCTTTCTCCTGATATGTAGATCAG